GCTACTTTGCTGAATTGGTCAACTATGTCCAATAGTTTTCTTGCTGAGTCTTTAGGGTTTTCTAAGTATACTATCATGTCATCAGCATAGAGGGATTTCTGACTTGACAGCATAAAGCAACAACAACAAGCTTTATACGAACAAATTGTCAGGTTTTCTCCCAAGGAGCCAGTAGGTAACTTCAAACCTTTAACCTTAACCTGAGGGAAGCCAAATTTCAAATTTAATAATAGTCGACCAAATGCTATATCAGGATATGAGGGAGGCTTAATACAAGCTGAAGGTCACCCTGTGGCACTAAGGCATTCCCTAATAGTCAACATTGTTCTTAGTTTGTATTAACTGAATCCCTCCCTCCTGAGGTAAGCATAAAGTAAACAATAGAGAGGAACTTGGCTTTATCTGCAAAAGACTTCCCCATGATCCTTTGCTTTTATTTTGTACCTTCCTTACGATTCTCAATAAATACCTAGAGAGGCATAGCTTGAGGCCTTCAGTCATGGGAACTGCTGGCCCCCTGTTATTTATACTCTCTGTTCTATCTCATTGTTGGTAGTCTGTCTCATTATTAATAATTATAAAAATACTCTACCCTAGGTCTGCAACATTAACCCATAACCATAAAGATCATAAGAGACAAAATGGGATCAAGGTTAGAAGGCCTAGCTTATGGCTGAAAAACAGAGTCACAAATATACAACCAGGACAGGATAAAATTGGTAAATAGGACCTTGTAAAGATTAAATTCCTATGCACATCAAAAACTTCTTCCAAAAAGTGAAAAGAAACTTTACCAATTGGGAAAGTCCATTTTGCAATACCATTTCAGACAAGGGTTATATCAAAAGTTTACAGAATCCTACAGGATAAACCAATTACAAAATGGATAAGAGACATGGAAAGACTTTTCACAGAGAAAGAGCGACAGACAGATAAAGAAGTGCTCAAAATCATTGGTAGTAAGAGAGATGCAAATAAAAATCACAGTAAGATACCATCTCCCCCCAGTAGCAGTGGAATTTTAACAAGGAAGCAAGTGATAAATGTTGGAAAGGATGTGGAGAAATAGAAACTCTTATACACTGGTGGTGGGATTGTAAAAGGGTACAACCACTCTGGAAGGCAGTCTGGCATATCCTCAGAAAGCCGAACATAGAAATTGCATATGACCCAGATATTCCACTGTTTGGAATATACCCTGAGAAAATGAGAACTGTGGCAAAGAGACTTGTACACCAGTGTTCTTAACAGCATTATTCACCATCACAAGAACATGGAACTAGCCCAAATGTCAAATGGATTGAGAAATTGTGGTACATTCACACAATAGAATACTACACAGCACTCAGGAGCAACCATTTAAAAGAAAAACTACAAAAACTGGAGAGCATTTTGCTCATAAACTAACTCGGTCTCATAAGGACAAATATTGCATAAGACCATTATTGCAGAAATAGAAGGATAACTAGTAGAACATGCATGGGGCTTCAAGGGGTGGGAGCAGAGGAGTAAGGATGGGTAGGGGGAAATCACAGGGTCATACAATTTGGTAGCTGGAGAGAGGGGGTAAAGGAAATGGGAGAGATCCAGCAGGGATTGGGGTAATGGTGCACTTAGTCCAATGATGATTAATTTTTTTAAAAAATTTTATTCTGATTTGTTTACAAAGCTTAAATACACTGATTTTCACAAAAGATCCTTCCCATTACCTTCACTCCACCCACTCATCAAATTGTACAACCATATGATTAACACCCTGCCCCCCCACTCATCCTCGCCCCCCTATTTCCACCCTCGCCCCACCTTAGATCCTCATCTTTATTCTACAATAATGGTTTTATACAGTATTTGTCCTTGTGGGATTGAGTTAGCTCACTCAGAATAATGCTCTCAGTCCTCCAAATTAGGTAGTAATGTATGGGATTATTGTATAAAACATAAAATCAATGAAGGAAAGTGTGAAACGCACACATACAAAGATAATTTTTAAAGTAACAGATAAACATTAACCTTTCAATTAGCCAGTGAACCTTTTAACCATTGTGCCGTTGAGGTTTCTTAGCATAGCAATCAATCACCTACATACATTGCTATTAAATAAACTGAACACATAGTGACCCACACAGCATATAGCAGAACTGCCTCAAAGGATTTCCTTTATGAAAACAGACTGCTCTGTCTTTCTCCTGTAGTCATTGTTGTATTGGATTCAAATGGCCAACTTTTTGGTGGTGGTGGTGGCGGTTGTTATGTGCTGTCAAACTGGAAGTGACTCAAAGTTGACCCTCCAGCAGGTTTTCAGAGGCTGTAAATTGTACTGGAGGACAATGCCCATCCTTCTCCCTTCGAGCAGCTGGTGGATTTGAACTATGTGCCTTTGTGATTGCAGTGTAGCTTTGGTAGCAGAATATTCTACCACTGCATCATTAAGTCTCCTAGAAAGAGATGATGAATACCTAACCTCTATAACCAGTGAAGGTGACTTTGGGGAAATAAGGTCTTTCTTTTAACCTATAACTAAAGTTACTGTGGTGGAGTTGGGACCCACTCATAGTTGACCCTCTAGTAGGTTTTTAGAGGCTATAAATTGCACAGGAGGAAACTGCCCATGTTTGTCCCATGGAGTGGCTGGTGAATTCAAAGCATCAGAGGCAGCCATCTTTAGGGCAGCAGCATAACTCCCTATGGATTAGATTATCAGAGCTCTCCTTCTTTGGAGATATTATCAGTCACATAACAGGGAAAGGTGAGTTCTAGTCCCAATCTCTTCTGAGGAGTGCCTTACAAAAGAGGAAAACAGATGTAGCATCGGGAGGGAAAACACCATATGAGGATCTAAGTACAAACCATGAAATAGTAGTAAGAAATACCCAGGGCTACAAAAGCTGAAAAACACAAGAAATCCTGTTCTTTCAGAAACAATACAGAGAGAAC